GGAATTCTAAGAACTCTGCTCAGAAGGAAGGAAGGAATATGATAGAGAAAATCTGTGTTGTCTTAGAGACTATAAATCATCATACACAGACTTTTTGTAGAAATGTAGATGTTCAAGTGTTCTTACTGTCTATAGTAAAATGTGAGAGGAAAGATAAATTGAGAAAATAACTATGAGGCAGAAAACGAGGACTTTATGGTTTTGGAAATTCTCAGCCTATTAGGATGGAAAATATTTAAAAATTAGGGAATTCAAACGTCAGGAAAGCAGTGTATCCTGTTGTCTTGTAGAGAAAGCCAATTGTATGTCTGGACAGCCTTTTGCTATTGCCTCTGAAGGATTAAACGGTCAGAGTATTCAGTCACACAGAAAGCTCATTGAAGAGATTAGCATGAAGCAGGTTTGGTGTGCACTGGTTACCAACTTGCCTGAGTCTGCTAAGAAAAAACACCCACATAACGCAACAAATTCCATGAAGTGGATTTACTACTTACATGCAGACAGCAACTGAAACCTAAAATTCACTGTGAGCTGGTCCTCCAAGGCTCAGAAAGCTGCCTGGGATGAATGGAGTCTCAACTGTGCATGCCCCACTTGCAATGCAGATAAAGGACCACGAAGTGCAGACCACCTTGGGTTTTATACCCTGGAGAAACATGATGTGCTAAGCTAAGTGTTGAAGGGCATCCTGTTTCTAGTGGACACTGTAACAAAGCCTGGGCTATTCCACCCAGTGCCTCTCTATCTCAGAGTGTTACATTCCCAGCTCATTCTACAGTTATTCTTGATAACTACAAGTGACAAGCAGAGAGGAAAACGGGGTCAGCCCAAGGCCACCCTGAGAACTGTCCTGCAATTAGGTGTCTGTCTCATGGATTCCTTCACCCATAATGGCAGAGGGCACCAATCAAGATAAAACTATCTCATAATGATATGTGGATGAAACTATCTTGTAAAGATATGTGCAGACTGGGCATGGTGGCTCATGCCTGTAATCCTAGGATATGAAAGGAAATGAAACAAAGGAAAAGGAAATGAATCAAACAAAGGAAAAGATGGGTAGGACAAGATAATGACTAGTCTACAAATAAAATAAAATATCAATTTCTGCAAATAAACATAAATAGAGGCTCATGACTATCTCACAGACCTGGTGAAAAGGAATGAGAAAATGACCCTGAAAAGATATTTATTCTTGTTCAAAAGAAACAGGTTGAAATCAAAAGGAAAAGGAATAGAAGTAAAATATTGTTGCTACTTAGATCAGCAAGGTACAGAGGAAGCACACTGAGTTAAGGATAAACGAAAAGAAGTAAATGAGTAAAATAATTGACAGGGTATTCCTACAAGCCAGCCAGCCAGATGAAAGATTTTAATGGTCCACATTACAGAGGCAACATATTAAAAGGATGATGAGGTGAACAGCTAGACACTAGTTGGTGGTCTCGCTGTTCTAAAAGGCAGTGGATCCTAGGCCGGGCATGGTGACTCATACCTATAATCCCAGCACATTGGGAGGTCAGGCGGATCACCTGAGGTCAGGAGTTCCAGACCAACCTGGCCAACATGGTGCAACCCTGTCTCTACTAAAATACAAAAATCAACCAGGCATGGTGGCTCGTGCCTGTATTCCCAGCTACAAAGAGGGCCGAGGCACGTGAATTATTTGAACCTGGGAGGCAGAGGTTGCAGTGAGCCGAGATTGTGCCACTGCACTCCAGCCTGGGTGACAGAACGAGACTCTGTCTAAAAAACAAAAACAAAAACAAAACAAAACAAGTCTGTGGAGCAGCTTCTTGTCTAGCGGAGTGAATTCCTATGACACACCCAGGAGGGTCACAAGGTACCCAAGAATATATTTTTTTTGATACTAAGTCTCGCTGTTGTTGCCCCGGCTGGAGTGTCACGGCGTGATCTTAGCTCACTGCAAGCTCCGCCTCCCGGGTTTAAGCAATTCTCCTGCCTCAGCCCCCCAGTACCCAAGAATTTTATACCTTCAGAAGCACTGCCAATTTGGATTCAAAGGTATGAGGAGAATATGACAGGAAGGAGGGCTGTTGAGCTCCCCAAATTCTGCAAGTAGGAATTAAACTGACAAACTACTCAGCTGTAACCGCATGCAATGCTTCATGAAAAACAGAGGATAACTCTGAAGGTGAAGCAATGAGCCCAGATGGCAGAGCTTCTAGCCCAGAAGGCTGAGCCAAACCACAGGATTATTCCCAGTCCTTAAAACCTAATTTTGTTTGCCCAGTTGTAGTTAGATGTCTTGGGACTGGCGCCTCATTTTTTTTTTTTTACTTCCTTTTTGCCCCCATTAGAATAATGTCTATAACTGGTATCCTATGCCTGTCCCACTCTTGGTTTTGGGAAGCAGGTCATTTTTTCCTAGTTTCATAGAACCACAGAAGGAGAGCAATGTTTCACTGAATGGATTACACCCAGACTCTCACCCACGCTTGCTGTAGATTATTTGGATGATGTGATTTGGGAATTCTGAGCTGATGAGCTTTAGATGAGGTTTTTCACTTTGAATTGATGATATAATTGTTTGAGACTTTGGTGGATGTTGGGACAGGATGAATACATTTTCATTCCATGAGGGATGTATATGAATGTCTGGGATCTAGAGAACACACTGCGGTGGGCAAATAATGCTACTCCCCCCGCCCCACAAAGATATATGTGTTCAAATTCCTATAATTATGAGTGTGCTATTTTACATGGCAAAAGGATCTTTGCAGATATGATTAATATAAGGATTTTGAGACAGGGAGATTATCATGGATTACCCAGCTGAGTTCAATGTAATTACAAGAGTTCTTATAAGGCAAGTTTGTCCAACTGGTGGCCCACCAGCTGCATGTGGCCTAGGACAGCTCTGAATGTGGCCCAACACAAATTCATAAACTTTCTTAAAACATTATGAGACTGTTTTTGCAATTTTTTGTTAGCTCATTAGCTATCGTTAGTATTAGTGTATTTTGTGTGTGGCCCAAGACAATTCTTCTTCTTCCAGTGTGGCCCAGGGAAGCCAAAAGATTGGACACCCCTGTTATAAAGGAGAGAAGATCGTAGGAGAGTTAAAGAATTAATGATGGAAGAAGAAACTAGAGCGATGTGATTGCCTGTTGGGAGGGGGCCATGAGCCAGGGATGCGGGTAGCCTTCAGAAGCTGGAAAGGGCAAGAAAAAGGATTGTTCCCTAGAGCCTTCAGAAGAAAAGCAGCTCACCCACACCTTGATTTTATTTTAATGAGATCCATTTTGGACTTCTGATCTCCAGAACTATAGGATAATACCTTGTGTCATTTTAAGCCACTAAGTTTATTGTAGTTTGTTAAAGCAGCAATAGGAAACTGAAACGGCCATGATAGGTGCTCAGAACTCCAGGAGGCATGAAAGGAGGATGCTAACGCCTTTACATTGCAGGTGTTCCTGGGTGGCACTAATGAGAGAGCCTGCTGTACTGCAACTTGGATAGATTCTGGAGCCTTCTGTTACAGGGGATCCTATGCAATGTGGGCTGATTTTCAAGTAATAAACATGAATGGACCTGAGTAAAATTTATAAATAAGGAATATGTTGTCTTTAAAATGCAAAAAGGCCTAAAAGATGTTGGGCTTGTAACACTATGGGCACAGAGAGGCTCAATAGTTGTTTTTTTAGTAGTATTGGGAATGGAGAGGCCTTCAACTAACCAAATGATCCTTTGGAGTTTAAGTGAGGGACTGGGTCTGCTACTTTGCATGGGACAATGGCTTATCCCCTTTATGAGCTCCTTTTTGAATGTTTCTGTGTCTTAAATGAGTGTGGTGAATGAACCTCCTCAGAGGAGGACACCCTCAGTGTAATGTTATATCTGTACTCCTGGAGAAAGCTGGAAGCAGTGGCGCTTGCTGGCAAAGATTGTGGGCAGTAGTAGGGCTGTTGAAGTACACTGTGGGTAGCCATGCATTGTGTTTCTTCCAAGGTAAAGATGCACTGTGGCTGAGAGCCTGTAAAAATCAGCATGGAAGAGAACATTCTAGCCAAGTCTATGACTGCAAAGTATTTGCCAGTAGATACTTGGATAGAGTCTTTCATTTCAATTAAGTTGAGTATGAGAACCTTAATATGTGGGACTATGTGTTAATATACCCCAATCCTCACACAAAATCTGATTTGGATGTGATGAAGGCACACACGTATTAAGAAGATATAAGAGGTTTATGGCTCATAGGGTGAGGTTTTTTTTTTCTTTTTTTCAGAATAGCAGGACAGGATCTCAGGCAAATCTGAAAAATGGCTTTAGAGAGCAGGGAGGGATGACTGGCTTGAGTTTTTACTGTGAGGAGAGGTAGGATGAGCTGAGGATTTCCCTTCATTGTCCTGACTTTCATGGATTGAAACTCCTACCAGGGATAAGAGAGAAGGTATGTGTGGGTTTTCTTACCAGTTTGCTCAGATGAAGCATGGGGTTGGGAAGGGGAAATGGGGCTTGACATTTGTCAAGAGGCAAACAGTGAAAATGGAGTCAGACTTCTTATTACACGTGGGTAATGAAGAAGGGGCCAAACTGGCAAGTAGGGATGTAGGGGACTACTCTTTTAATGAAGTCTTTTAGTACTTTTTGACTGAATTTAAAAATTATTTGCATGTATCACTTTAAATAATAAAGATGATTGTTTTTGTAAAACGGAAAGAACAGAGACTCTGGAATCAAACAAATGTGTACTGTATTTAAATACAAATTATACCAATAGCTCACACCTGTAATCCCAGTGGTTTGTAAGGGAGCTGAGACTGCAATGAGCTAGGATTGTGCTATTGCACTCCAGCCTAGATGACAGAGCAAGACTCTGTCTCAAAAATAAATAAATGCATACATTAAAAATACTTAAAGAAGCAATCATTCAAATACATACATAATTTTTGAAATAAGTTTCTATATTGTTATGCTAATGTTACTCTTTTGTGCAGCATATTTTACTTTTTTTAAACCTGTTGCTGTTTTCTTAGATTTTAAAAAGGAGGAAAAATCGTATCAAGTTATCAGTTGGCTTGCACCTGAAGATCATCAAAGAGAATTTAAGAAGAGTTTTGATTTCTTTCTGGAAGAAACTTTAGGTGGCAGGTAATTTTTTTTTTTTATTCTTTGAACCAAAGGGTCACTATTTTCGTCATACAAATAATGGATGGATGCATGGATACTTGGATTTTATTTTAATGAGATTTTATTTTAATAAGAGAAAGTGACAAATGGATGGATGGATGGATTGATAGATGGAGAGGCAGATGATAAGGGGAGTAGATGAGTACTACATACTACATCATCCAGTAAAGTCCCTGGACATTCTTCTTTATACCGTCTTTCTTACACTATAAGCATGAGTGCTTTTCTGCAGAAAGTGGGAAATTGTTTCTTCTGGGACTTCCTTGCAACATTTCACCTACAATCATTGTCTGTAATATCCCCAACACAGAAATTGGGATAGACTCCTCCACTTTTCATTGTTGGTGGGAAAATTAGAGTCACCTTTTCCCACTTACTGTCTTCCCTTCTTCTCGCATATATTCATAAATAAAGGGAAGGCTTATGAACATTGGGTTTGTAGAAGCTGAACATACAGTCATGCAAAGTTCTTTAAAAAAGCAATCAACCTGGTACAAATGAAACATGAAACTGACTCCTTTTGCTTAATCTGGATGGGAAGAAACACATAACTTTTTGATCTCAGACATAAAAGAGGAAACACAGAAATCCATGTCTATCTTTGTTAATCGCAGTGGCCTTACCTACTCTTCTTTCCTTGAAAATTCTACTCAATAGTCAACATAGTGCTTAAATCCGACTTCTTCCATAAAGCCTCCCTCCTCCCCCGAGCTGGAACACCACATTCTCTCCTCTATACGTCTGATCTAATCCACTCATTTGACACTTAGCCTATATCATCTTGCAGAGTTAGTTATATATTTTAAGCATGTGCCTTGTCTCTTCTTATCCAGTTTAATATTTTAAAGGACAGGTATGGTTAAGAGTGCATTCTTAAAATATTTTAATTTATTAGCTTAATTTTAAATACGATTAATGAACTACAGTCTAAAAATTTTTACTACATGACTGGCTTTTTTTTTTTTTGAGATGGAGTTTTGCTCTTGTCGCCCCGGCTGGAGTGCAATGGCACGATCTCGGCTCACTGCAACCTCTGCCTCCAGGGTTCAAGCGATTCTCCTGCCTCAGCCTCCCAAGTAGCTGGGATTACAGGAGTGTGCCACCATGCCCAGCTAAGTTTTGTATTATTAGTAGTGACGGGGTTTCACCATGTTCGCCAGGCTGGTCCCAAACTCCTAACCTTGGGTGATCCACCCTCCTCGACCTCCCAAACTGCTGGGATACAGGCGTGAGCCACTGCACCCAGTTCATTACTGAAATTTTCAAAAATGTTTGGCAACTTTTCCTTTATTATATGAATCTTTAAAAATATACAACAGAGGATGACTTCAGTCAGTCTGCATATCACTAGTGAGGGACCTTCTCTAACTGGAGGGCAATGGTACGGTGGTGTACAGGTTACAGGTGTGTCAGGGAATTGATTCTCTTAGTCTTCCATACAGCCAGTAGGTCTCTGATATCTAGAGCTCTTGCACTTATTGCAGCTGGCCTAGGCATCCTCATCTATTTCCCCCAAATTCTGTAAAATAGGATCATATTCTATGCAGGCATTATTGGGAATATGTTACAAAAGAATCGTCCCTTTGCATATGTCAGTAAAGCTTTGACATTATCTTACCTGAATACCCCAGCCTGCATTGAGGTGGAAAGAAATAATAATAATAAATAATTAAAAGTTATAATGTAAATAAGTAAACAAATATGTAAATAAATATATAAAAATATGTAAAATGAAAATAAATAAAAGTAAATAATAAAGAAAGAAAGAATAATAAAGAAAAAAGCAATGTGTTTCAAAAACCAGGTTCCTTTTGTTTTTATTTTTTTCCATTGCTTAACTCCTAGGGATAAAAAGGTGGAATTCTCATTTTCAGCTGAGATATTCGGTTGTAATATAATCAAAGAGTAACTTGACTGAGGCAATCTCTCGTATGTAAGCACACAGTGCTAAAACATAGCACATATAATCAATATTGATAAACTCTTTCGTCAAGTTACTTACACAATTTGGTTGGATAAATAAGAAAATCACTCATAAACACTCTGTATGTAAATGAGGGCTAAATAGAGTGTCCCCTAATTTATCAAGGAGACAGAACTCTGAGATCTGCTGCTCTGAGAGATGGCTCCCAGAGTAGAAGGACCTTGAGTCGGCATTGATGGTGGTTGGGGTTTGGATAAGGGTAGAAAAGGGGAAGGAAGAAGGGTAACTCTAGGGAGTAGAAACATTTAAGCCAGGATAATTATGGCAGAGGGCATCTGTGGGAAACTGGTTGAATTTGTGGGTGACTGCTAGAAAGGTTGTTGCTTCCCTGGGATATTTTCTTTGTATCTCAAGATACTTTTATGTACTGTAAATTTAACACTTCCCATGAATATTTATTATTTTTTTTCTTACAGAGGAAATTTTGAAAACTTATTAAAAGTTCTAGAATACTTGGCGTTGCAGTGCCATCATTTTTTAAGGAGAAAGGATATCATGGATTCCTTAAAGAATGAGAACTTCGACATGGTGATAGTTGAAACTTTTGACTACTGTCCTTTCTTGATTGCTGAGAAGCTCAGTAAGCCATTTGTGGCCATTCTTTCCACCTCATTTGGCTCTTTGGAATTTGGGCTACCAATCCCCTTGTCTTATGTTCCAGTATTCCGTTCCTTGCTGACCGATCACATGGACTTCTGGGGCCGAGTGAAGAATTTCCTGATGTTCTTTAGTTTCTGCAGGAGGCAATGGCACATGCAGTCTACATTTGACAACGCCATCAAGGAGCATTTCCCAGAAGGCTCTAGGCCAGTTTTGTCTCATCTTCTACTGAAAGCAGAGTTGTGGTTCATTAACTCTGACTTTGCCTTTGATTTTGCTCGACCTCTGCTTCCCAACACTGTTTATGTTGGAGGCTTGATGGAAAAACCTATTAAACCAGTACCACAAGTAAGTGACCCTCAGCATTCAGTTTGGGATTCACACAGAGGCCTTCAGTGCATAGTTGATGGCTGCCACCTGCCAGTAGGATCCTGAGGCTGAAGTAGGGATAGGCAAGGGAGGCACCTAGGGCATGCTTTTAAAGGAAGTGATGAGTTTCAGGGTTGTGCAAGTAATAATGTTAGGCCTTGCACCATCCTGAGATGAAGGGCATCTTTGTATGGGTTCCTCTGGCTCCTCTCTTGCCACACCCTAGTCCTAGCCTTGATAAAATAAGCCATGTATTAAAGTTTCAATTTTTTGTTTGCATTTTTATTTTGCATGATCATGTGTACAATAAACATGCAGTTAGTGCCCATTACATGCAAGAATTGTTAAGGAGATAAGATACTTACAGTGAAATGACAACCCTATGGATTTGGAGTAAGCAGGGTGGGTCTGTATGGGACCAACAGCAAGAACTGCCGGTGGTATCTCTAGTGTTCCCTGCCTGTAGAGCCCTGGCTCCTGCCTCCACCCAGATCTTCTGACTTGATTTCTCTGGGGTGGACCCCTGCTACTGTAATTTGCAAGTGCTGCCCAGGTGATTTGAATGCACAGCACAGTTTCACAACTCAGAACCTCTGCTACAGAAATTTTTCAAAGGGAGGAGAGCTAGGATGAGTTGGTTGCCTGTTGCCTCTGAGCACTGGGTTCCCATTTTATAGAAGTCATCATATTTAATATCCTTCCATCTGTATGGAGGTGTGATCATCTTCATTTTTATAAACGGAGGAGGATAGAAGCTCAGGTGATGTAGGTGACCTTCCCACCACCATGTATTTCAGAGGCCCTGAGGGCCTGAGCTTTCTAGCCACCCAAGTGTCCACTCTTCTAACTTGCATTGAGTGAGCAGGAAGAGGTGGGGAATGATCTATAGGTGATATGGGCTTTGCATTGGTGGCAGGAAGTTTTAGGAATGGAGCTGAGAGGGAAAGCACCCCAGGTTGGGGAGCAGGAGTCCCAATATGTGGAGATGTAATTGAGATGGCAATAAGGCTGGGTTCCCTGGGTGGCGCTGGCTACACTAGTGGAGTAGAATATTCAATTGCATGAGTAAAACTGTGGGGATTTACCAGAAACCTTAGCTAGCAGGTGGGTGGATCAGGCCTCCACCATGGAGTAGGGAGAGGACATTGTTAAGAGGATAACAATGGGAATAAGGGTTGTAATGACTGTGAAACAACATATACTAAAAAAAAAATAATGTTTCTTCTCTGCATTTTCCAATTTTTATATAATGGTCTTATGTTGCCTTGTAATTATAAAAATGATGACAAGGCTGTTTTAAGGAAGTCCTTAGGAATGGTAAGTGGTATGCTGGCTGGAATCCAGTAGAGTCTGAACCACGTAGTAGAATGATGGGTTGGGAGGTGGAGTGAGCACTTGTAGGGCAGAGAGAATCAGACAGAGTTCAAAGAAATATTTGGAAGTAAGAATTGACAAAATTGTGCTAAACACAAAATTAAGACATTGGATACTGTGAGCCCAAAATATATGACACTGGTCTCACCAATTTAGAAACTTTATTTGCCAAGGTTGAGGATGCATCCATGACAGCTTCAGGAGGTCCTGACGACATGTGCCCAAGGTGGTTGGGGCACAGGCTGGTTTTATACATTTTAGGGAGACATGAGACACCAATCAATATGTTTAAGGTAAACATTGGTTTGGTCCAGAAAAGCAGGAGAGGGGGATTCTAGGTAGACAAGAGGTCATAGGTAGACAAGAGACAAACAATTGCATTTTTTTTGAGTCTCTGATTAGCTTTTCACTGAGTGCACAATTTACAGAAACAGTCACTTATACCTTAGTCTGGGTTAGTGAAACAATAGGGCAGAGGAATCAAGCCAAAATACATTTGTCTCAGGCGAGCAGACGGATGCTTTTGAGTTCTGTTTGCTCTTTGTCCACAAGGAATTTTCTTGTGGGCAAATGGTGAGGGGGGTATGCAGCTTTTTTTTTTTTTTTTTTTTAAATCTTTGTGGCTGTGGCTATCCTATTTAGGAACGGAATGGGAGGCAATTTTGCCCGATGCAGTTCCCAGCTTGACTTTTCTCTTTGGCTTAGATTTGGGGATCCTGAGATTTATTTTCCTTTCACAACACTAACTTTGTTAAGAACTACCTGGGGGACTTTATGATACAAGCTGCCCAGGCCTGCTTTTGGGACAGAGCATTACTGCTTTATTTATTTTTTTTTAAATCCACCACATCAAGGCATTGATCACTTCTTTATGTTACAAACATCCCAATTATATTCTTTTAAATACTTGAAAATGTACTATAAATTATTGTTGACTGTAGTCACCCTGTTGTGCTATCAAACACTGGACCTTATACATTCTAACTATATTTTTGTACCATTAACTATACCACTTCCCCATCCCAGGCTCTGGTAACAGTCATTCTACTCTCTATCTCCATGAGTTTAATTGCTTTAATTTTTAGCTCCCACAAATGAGTGAGAACATGCAGTTTGTCTTTCTGTGTCCGGCTTAGTTCACTTAACATAACATACTCTAGTTTCATCCATATTGTTGCAAATGACAGGATCCCTTTCTTTTTGTGGCTGATGAGTTCTCCATTATGTACATATACTATATTTTCTTTATCCATTCATCTGATGTTGGACATTTAGATTAATTCTGTATCTTGGCTACAGCGAATAGTGCAGCAATAAACACGGAAGTGTGGGTATCTCTTCAGTATAGTGACTTCTTTTCTTTTGGGTATATACCTGGCAGTGAGATTGCTGAATCATATGGCAGTTCTAGTTTTAGTTTTCTGATGAACCTCTAAACTGCTTTCCATAGTGGTTGTACTGATTTAAATTCCCACAAACAGTGTGCAAGTTTTCTTTCTCCACATCCTTGTTATTGCCTGTCTTTTGGATGAAAGCCATTTTAACTGGGGTGAGATAATATCTCATTGTAGTTTGATTTGCATTTCTGTGGTAATCAGTGATGTTGAGCAAACCTTTTATATGCCTGTTTGTCATTTGTATGTCTTTTGAAAAATGTCCATTCAGATCTTTTATTTTTTAATCAGGTTATTAGATTTTTTTTTTTTTTTTTCTCACAGAGTTGTTTGAGCTTTTATGTATTCTGGTTATTAATCCTTTGTCAGAAGAAGAATTTGCCCATATTTTTTCCCATTCCGTGGGTTATCTCTTTGCTTTATTGATAGTTTCCTTTGTTGTATAGAAGACTTCTAACTTGATGTGATCTCATTTGTCCATTTTCCCCTTGGTTGCCTGTATTACGCAAGAAAAAGAAGTGCGCCCAGATCAACATCCTGGAGCATTTCCCCAATGTTTTCTTTTAGTAGTTTAATAGCTTGAGGTCTTAGATTTCAGTCTTTTTCTTTTCTTTTCTTTTCTTTTTTTTTTTTTTTTTTTGAGACTGAGTTTTGCTCGTGTTGCCCAGGCTGGAGTGCAATGGTGCGATCTTGGCTCACTGCAACCTCTGCCTCCTGGATTCAAGCGATTATCCTGCCTCAGCCTCCCGAGCAGCTGGGATTACAGGCGCCCACCTAACTTTTTGTATTTTCAGTAGAGACGGGGTTTCACCAAGTTGGCCGGGCTGGTCTCGAACTCCTGACCTCAGGCAATCCACCTGCCTCGGCCTCCCAAAGTGTTAGATTTAAGTCTTTTATTCCATTTTGATTTGATTTTTGTATATGATGAGATATAGGGGTCTAGTTTTATTCTTCTGCATATTCATATCTAGTTTTTTTTAGCACCATTCATTGAAGAGACTGTCCTTATGTTCTTGGCACCCTTGTCAAAAATAAGTTCACCGCAGATGTATGGATTTATTGCTGGGTTGTCTATTCTGTTCTGTTGGTCTATGTGTCTTTTTTTATGCCAGTACCATACAGTTTTGGTTACTATAGTCTTGTAGTATAGCTTGAAATCAGGTAATGTGATTCTTCCAGTTTTGTTCTTTTTGCTTGGGATGGCATTGGCTATTCTGGGTCTTTTGTGGTTCCATATACATTTTAGGATTATTTTTCCTCCTTCTGTGAAGGATGTGATTGGTATTTTTATAGAGACTGAATTGAATCTGTGGATTGCTTTGGGTGGTATGCACATTTTAACAATATTGATTCTTCCAGTGCATTAACGTGGAATAGCTTTCCAGTTTTTAAAATGTCTTCTTCAAATAATTGCATTGATGCTTTATAGTTTTCACTGGAGAGATCTTTTACTTCTTTGTTTAACTTCATTGCTAGGTATTTTATTTTGTTTGTGGGCATTGTAAATGAAATTACTTTCTTGATTTCTTTTTCAGATTATTCACTGTTGGCATATAGAAATGCCACTGATTTACATATATTGATTTTGTGTCCTGCAACTTTACTGAATTTGTGGATCAGTTCTAATAGTTATTTTGGTAGAGTCTTTAGGTTTTTCCAAATATAAGATTATATAATTTGCAAACTAGCATAATTTAACTTCTCCCTTTCCAATTTAACTGCCCTTTGTTTCTTTCTCTTTTCTGATTGCTCTAGCTAGAACTTCCAATACTATGTTGAATAACAGTGGTAAAAGTGGGCATCCTTGTCATGTTAGAGGAATGGTGTTCAGTTTTTCCCCATTCAGTGTGATACTAACTTTGGGTGTGTCATATATGGCTTTTATTGTGTTGAGGTACGTTTCTTCTACACTCAGTTTTTTTAGGGTTTTTATCATGAAGGGACTTTGAATTTTATTGAATGCTTTTTCAGCATCAATTGATATGATCATATGTTTTTTTTCCTTCATTCTGTTGATATGATGAATCACATTGATTGATTTGCATATGTTGAACAATCCTTGAATCCCTCGGATAAATCCCCCTTGGTCATGATGAATGATCTTTTTAATGTGTTGTTGATTTTGGTTTGCTATATTTTGTCAAGGATTTTTGCCTTAATGTTCATCAGAGATATTAGCCTGTAGTTTCCTTTTTCCGATGTGTATTTGTCTGGTTTTGGTGTAAAGGTAATACAGGCCTTTTATTCACTTCTCTTCTATGTTTTTTAGAATAGTTTGAGTAGGATTGGTATTAGTTCTTTAAATGTTTGGTAAAATTCAGCATTGATGCCATTGGGTCCTAGGCTTTTCTTTGCTAGGAGACTTTTTATTACAACTTCAGTCTCGTTACTTGTTATTGGTCTGTTCAGGTTCAGGATTTCTTCATGGAATAATCTTGGTAAGTTTTATGTGTCACTGCACCTGTGTCTGCATTAGGGGGCACTCCAAGCCCAGACATGCTGACTCTTGCAGCCTTGTAGAAATACCACCTTGGTGGTCTTAGGTAAGAGCCAGGAGAATTCCTTGGATTACCAGGCAGAGTCTCTGATTCTCTTCTCTTACTTTCCCATATACCAACAGAGGTTCTCTCTCTCCCTGTGCTAAGCTGCCTGGAGTTGGGGGAGGGGTGACACAAACACTCTTATGACCACCTCCACTGAAATTGTGCTGGATTATGCTTGAAACCAAACACAGCACTGAACCTTGTCCAAGACCTATGATAACTATTGCCTGGTTACTGCTGATGTTTATTCAAGGCTCAAGAGCTCTTTAGTCAACAGGTGGTGAATTCTTCCAAGCCTATACCTTTCCCTTTAGGGCAGCAGGTTCCCTTCTGGCCCAGGTTGGGTCTAAGAATTCTGTCTGGGAACTGGGTCCTGGAATTGGGAATTGTAGGGATCTACTTACTCTCTTCCCTCCCTTCTAAAGCAGGAGTCTCACCTGTGGCCACCCCACCCCAGGCCTGTGAGAAGTACTGCCTGGCTACTGCTGATGTTTATTTTAGGCCCAAGGGCTTTTGAATTAGCAGGTGGTGAATCCTGCCAGGCTTAGGTCTCTCCCTTCAGGGCAGTAAGTACTCATCTGACCCAGGGCATGTCTAGCAATGTTGTCCAGGAGCTAAGGCCTAGATGTGGAGATGTTAGGATTCTCCTTGATGCTTAATTTTACTGCAGCTAAACTAGTACCCAAATTGCAAGACAAAGACTTTTTAACTCTTCTCTCTCCTCTTCTCAAGGAAGGAGTCTCTCCTGGAGCTGTGGGCTGCCCTGCCTGGAGTTGGGGGAGGGGCGACACAAGCACTCCTTTGGCTGCCCTGGCTGATGTCTCACCAGGTCATGTGCACTCCAGGAATTTTAGTTCCTGTGGCCTAGATTGCCTTTCAAGTTTATTTAGAACCCCAGAGCACTTTAGCCTGCGGTGGTTGGTCTAACCAGCACTCAGGTCCCTACTGCTGAGGTGGATGATTCCCTTCTAGCAAGGGCTGGTCTAAATGCTCCCTGCATGGGTGCCAGCTGAATTCTTCCCTGTGTTGCTTTGCTCTGTGACTGCAGAGCACTGACTTCCAGTGCAAAGTCTATAGCCTCTGTGCTCTGCCTCCCCTAAGCACACAGATTCTCTCTCTGCACCACATGGTAATTGAAGACTGTCGTTCCTACCTTCTCAGTGCCACTTTCCTTGGTATGATGTTAAAACCAGGAATGGTGATTGCTCACCTGATTTTTGTTGTTGTTGTTGTTCTTTTGAAGGTGTTTTCTTGTGGATAGCTGTTAATTTGGTATTCCTGTGGGGGGCACAATCACTTCAGGGTTCTCTTCTGCCATCTGGCTCCACCTCCCTATAACATTGCTGCTTTTAAAAAATCTTTCTCTGTGGTTATAATCTGCAGTCCTGTGGGTGAACTACTGAGGTAGAGGATGAAGTATGTACAAAAAGATCAGTGACCAAGACTATCATAAAACATTAGAGGAAAACACACTAAAATGGTACATTTTGTGTAGATGGAGAGGAGCCTTACCCTATTCTGCCACCATTTCTGCCTGCAACTGAGGTGTTCTCCCAGCTTCTCCATTCCAGCCTCCAGAAATCCCACTCCTCATGTTGGACCCTGGCCACCTACTAGTACTCTTCCAGATACTATTACCTCTAGTCTGACCTTGGAAAACTCCTGTGACTCCCTGAGCCTATAATGGGTGGAAGGTCAAGAAAGGCCCTGATAGTAGGGTCAGGACTTCAAGAAGAAAGATGTTCTCACCAACACAAAGGATGTGACCACAGTGCAGCTAGTATTGCGCTATCCTAGGAGCTATAATAATAGCTTTGGGACAGTGAGGACAGGGCACTGTGTTACTAAATAGTCTGGCTTTCATTTTCTGGTCAACTAGGCTTTCACCAATAATTTTGTCACCTCTTTACCTTGGTAATCTTTCTCTAGGACTTGGAGAACTTCATTGCCAAGTTTGGGGACTCTGGTTTTGTCCTCGTGACCTTGGGCTCCATGGTGAACACCTGTCAGAATCCGGAAATCTTCAAGGAGATGAACAATGCCTTTGCCTACCTACCCCAAGGGGTGATATGGAAGTGCCAGTGTTCTCATTGGCCCAAAGAAGTCCAGCTGGCTGCAAATGTGAAAATTGTGGACTGGCTTCCTCAGAGTGACCTCCTGGGTAAGGGCTGCCCAGGACTGCTCTTCTCCTTCCACTGACCTGTCTTTGGGGCTCATCTAGGCTCTGACCTTTAGCTGGACATTTGTACCCACTGTTGAATGGCACAGGTGAGGCTCAGTGGACAGAAAAGTAGCAGCCAGTTGGAGTTCTTGGGAAACAAGGCTATACTTCCAATGGGATCAGATGTCAAAGCAGCCATCTTTCCTTCATTCTTTTCTATCCCAGACCTGTTGTCTGCAGTCCTATGTGATATTCCTCTCAAGTCTCTTTAACCCTACTGCATTTGGTCTTGGACAAGGTCACCCAAACAAAATTAAAGACAACCCATCAACTCTGAATGTATATACCAGGGATTGGGAGAGTTGCCACTCGCTTTAGTGACTTTGTGAGCACCAGTTTGGCCACATGGACTTACACAAACACACATCCACACATAAATATGGACACATCCTCTTCATTTACTAAGGGTCTGAGCAATTTCTACCATCACAAGATTAATGCCAATGATGTCTTTAGGATGTGCCAACATACCTGTGTGCCAGGCTTAGCAACTTCACAGTTGGTGATTTGGTCTACTGAATCATCTGGGACTAGAGAGTTCCCTCACCCCCAACAGGTTTTCTCCATGCCAAGTGTTGCCATAGACACTGACTAGAGCAGAGATTCATAACCAAGATTATGGCTCAAAAGAATCTGGGCAATTTAAGAAGTAGATTCCTGGTCCTACTTCTGTAAATATATATTTTAAAATTCTGGGGCCGGGCATATGCCTCCCATTTCAAAGAAGAGACAAGGAGTCTGATGCACATTGCAGTTGAGTGACCCAGGTTGAGATGTACTTGTCATTATCAACAATCACTTTAGTTAGCTCTAAGTAATGCTGGCATGGAAAGACAGGAACTGGAAATACAGAGGTGAAAGATCCAGTCTACTTTCAAGGGGCTTCTCATATAATTGTGGACACCATACAGTCAATACAAGTTTTATGAGTGACACATGAGTTGTGCTGTCAACAAATATGTCAGAAATACAAGAAAAGGGAAATTAGCTGTCAGTGGATAAAAGAGGGCTCATTATAGACAGACAGAGGAGGCAGAAACAGAGAGACACACAGAATACAGACGAGAGAAGCAAAGAGAGGCACAGGGAGGACAGAGAGAAGGAAGAATGGATGGACAGATAGAGATGGATCCCTTGCTTAACACTCTTCTCTACAGAAGTCACTCAATTCTAAGCCTTAGCTGAGTTTCTGGCTGAGGGAAGATGTTTCCATTTGATAACAATGCTTGGAATCTTGTATCTTGGAACTGTAACCTTGGATGTGTCCCAAGCACAGTCATTAGATACAATGTCTCCAACACACCGCTAGATCCACTTGGCACTTTCTTATCCCCTTCATCTCTGCCTGATATCTTGAATTTTTCATCCTGAAGTGTCCCACTCTCTTTCTTATTTACAACAGCTCACCCCAGCATCCGTCTGTTTGTCACCCATGGCGGGCAGAATAGCATAATGGAGGCCATTCAGCATGGTGTGCCCATGGTGGGGATCCCTCTCTTTGGAGACCAGCCTGAAAACATGGTCCGAGTAGAAGCCAAAAACTTTGGTGTCTCTATTCAGTTAAAGAAGCTCAAGGCAGAGACATTGGCTCTTAAGATGAAACAAATCATGGAAGACAAGAGGTATGAAGCTCTCTGGGGTTGTGGTCGTAATGATGAACGAAGGCAAAAACACTAAGGGTACTGTGGGAGTCTGTTTCCTTGGTTTTGCTTTGTTTTACTTTAGATTAAAACTGTATTTTCTGGGACATGGGATAATATGTGCGTGATGCCAACAGCTGACCTGTGTCCTCTGAGAGCAAGACTAGAGCATTTAAGTTAGATGTTAAGAATCATTTCCTACCTTTTCATTTTGGAGAACCTGGACTATGTGCACAGGGTCTCTGTGAGCTGTATTTCAGGTCAATTGGAATTCAGGTCAGCGGGATTCCAATTGAGGCAGGAGATTGCCTTTCCGTTCCCCAAATACTCCACACTCTTCTCCCCCTTGGCCTTTTGTTTGTGGTGCTGCCTCTTCACATACTGGCTCCTTCGTCACATTCCGGTCTCATCTCCAACCCATTTCTTCTTAGAGTTCACCTCCGACAGTCCTAAGTAACCTCTTCTCTCACCCACCCCCATTATATCATTTCCTTCTTAACACTTTTTAAGGTCTGCAATTACCTCAGTTATTTACGTGTTTATTTACAGAGTCTCTTTATGTTGCCCAGGCTGGTCTCAAACTCCTGGGCTCAAATGATCCTCCCGCTTCAGCCTCCTGAGTAGCTGGGATCACATAAGCCACCATGCCTGGCTTATGTTTTCATTTATTATTTGTCCCCCTCACCTTCCAACCAGAGACTGGAGAGTTAGCTTAATGAGGACAGCAGCATGTGTCTCTTGTTTTCTGCTGTCTTCTTAGTGCCTAGCACATGGTGTGCCACAAAGTAAATGGTTAATGAGTTTTAGTTAAGTGAGGCAATAGAAGGGGCCCAGTGACCTCCAAGGTAACTAACTACATATCCAGCACAGTGATCTCATGTGAAGAGAAAAATACACCTCATGTAATAAGTGAAAGGCACTGAATAATTTATTGGAGTTTCAAGGGCACAAACCAAAATCAGACCTCAAGGCTTAACATGTATTAGGAGACACTCAGCAATTCTCGCTAGATGACTTAAAACAACCACATAGCTCGTGGTTCTTAGCCCTAGAAGAGTCATTAAATTCCATGGGTTGGTTAACTTCAGATCAGTTGTATATATTTGCAATTTCATGTATTGCCGATGGTCATTTTCTGAAAAATGTGTTTGTAACTTTCATTGGATTTTTCAATGACCTAGACCCAAAATGACCATTCTGAGCTGGGATGGTCCTCAGACATTGTACACAACTAGGGCCAGCTTCACAATTTGTAGGACATGGTGTAAAATAAAAATGTGGAGCCTCCTATTATAAAGTTTGAGAACTTCGACATGGTGAAACCAAGTACAGGATGCTACTAAGTATGTGGTACAAATATGCAGCCTGCAGCCCAGGAAGTCAGCCCTGGTCAACATGACGTTCTGATGGTGCAGGAATGTGTAGGCTTTAGCTTGTGCCTGACATTCCCTACAGTGAGATTTGTCACCCCATCTAGAGACTGGCACAATGGAGGTGCTACATGTATATATATAAAAATTACATCATATATAATTTTCCTAGGGTACATCATAAACCTCCTTGGAGTAGGCACTAGTCTTTGTGGACTTAGTCACTTTTTTGAAGTTTGAGACTTTCAGCATTATGCATAGATCTTTGCATGTAGGTGTCATGATTAAATTTCAAGGGGACCCAGATAAATTACGGCAAAGCCAACAAAATTTCCTTGAAACTTAGTCTTTCGTGCATCATATAGAACGGATCACACATTCTAACTCTTGTGAGGTCACATTAGTAATGCCTGCTCTCTGTCTCTCTCCACAGGTACAAGTCTGCAGCAGTGGCTGCCAGCATCATCCTGCGCTCCCACCCGCTCAGCCCCACACAGCGGCTTGTGGGCTGGATTGACCACATCCTCCAGACAGGGGGGGCGACTCACCTCAAGCCCTATGTCTTCCAGCAGCCCTGGCATGAGCAGTACCTGCTTGATGTTTTTGTGTTTCTGCTGGGGCTCACTCTGGGCACTCTATGGCTTTGTGGGAAGCTGCTGGGTATAGCTGTCTGGTGGCTGTGTGGGGCTAGAAAGGTGAAGGAGACATAAGGCCAGATGTGGCCTTGGCGGAGTCTGTTTGGTGGGTGATGTCACCATTTCTCGGGGGCTTCCCACTAGTTCTGGCAACCCTGTTCTCCAGTCCTTCTAGTTATCTCCTGTTTTCTTGAAGAACAGGAAAAATCGCCAAAAATCATCCTCTCCACTTGCTAATTTTGCTACAAACTCATCCTTACTAGCTCCTGCCGGTTAGCAGAATTCTTTTCAGTCCTCTTGTCCTCCTTTGTTTGCCATCAGCAAGGGCTGTGCTGTGATTCTGTCTCTAAGTGACTTGGACCACTGACCCTCAGATTTCCAGCCTTAAAATCCACCTTCCTTCTCATGCGCCTCTCTGAATCACAGCCTGACCATTCCAGACTCCCTGTCCAGATCTTCTCAGCCTCTTTCAGTCACCATCTGTCACGGAATAACACCGAGAAAGACACCTCGCTTATTCTTTCCGTTTCTGTTCTGTTCTCCTGCATATTCTCTTCGATGCGCAGGAACCCTGTCCTGTGCTTGAGAGTTCAGGGCCAGACACACGCTTGCAGGTCTCCACATTGGGTCCCTGTCTCTCTGGTGCCCACAGAGAGCTCCTTTGCTGATCAGGCATGGAGACTGTAGGTTTCCAGATTTCCTGAAAAGTAAAAGTTCACAGAATTATCTCCTTGCGACCTCACTAAACATTTGACCAAGAGATTACTGTTCTAGTTGCCCAGAATTCTGTCATCTGGCTACTCAAGGCTATCGGGGAATGAGGCACGTCTGTGCACTGGCACTGGCCAGGATGAAGGCAGCGGGAAGTGAGTGGAGGGTTAGCCAACGTGTAGGGCCTGAAGAATGGGAAAAGTGGCCCCAAATCCTCCAGAATGCTTGACCTGTTGAACCAGATTGTTTTGCTATTTAGTCTTGACCTATATTCATGCAAGTAAGCAGCAAGCAATCATGGGCGGGCTGATAAAGAAACACTTCTGTTTCCTGGTTACAGTCTCTGGCTGGACTTACGGAATCACTGAATTGGCTTCAATGACTTTCTAAGTGTGATAGGGATGCCGAGGTAGGCAGCCAGAGCAGATGATTTCAATCATGGAGCCCCAGGTCCATGTAGATGAGAAGGGGGAATGCAACTGTAGCTGTGGTTCCAAGGACAGGACTGTGTGTTGTTCTTTGAGGGACCATTACCACAAACCAATGGGCACTAAACCTTAAGTAATCTAAGGGGAGAGTAAAAGACACCCTATTTAGTGTTCTGTAGAAAATATGATTTGCAAATTGACTCTTTTCAGCCAGTGTGGCTCTGAAGTCCTCAGTGCAAAGGATTTTTTTTTTTTTTTAGATGGAGTTTCGCTTTTGTCCAGGCTGGAGTAGAGTGCAAAGGCATGATCTCGGCTCACCGCAACGTCTGCCTCTGGGTTTCAAGCTATTCTCCTGCCTCAGCCTCCCGAGTAGCTGGGATTATAAGCATGCACCATCTCCCCCAGCTAATTTTGTGGTTTTAGTAGAGACGGGGTTTCTCCATGTTGGTCAGGCTGGTCTCAAACTTCCTACCTCTGGTGATCCGCTTGCCTCGACCTCCCAAAGTACTGGGATTACAGACGTGAGCCACCGTAACTGGCTGGTGCAAAGGATTTTGTACTAATGAGTAGGAGGTATGTATCCATATGAAAATGTCCCCACATGTATGGGAGAATGGAGGCTTTAAGCTTACTAATAGGTGCTAGAATTAATCTTAGCATTCATGTTTACTGTTTCCATGTGAAGCCTTCTCACTCTTCGCTAACCTCCTCCCTTTTGACTGCCATTAAGGTTTAGAAAATGTGTAGGTTGGTATCAGGATGGAGGAAGGAGCACACCATGGGGACTTTTCCCTTCTGGGGCCTCCACAATCTGCATGTAATGAAATGCTGCATGTGTGATAAACAAGAAGAGCACATAACACCCACAGAACCCATAACTTCCCAAGAGATGAAACTCCAGTTTGCAGTGGAGCTCCCTCCCGAAATCCTGCTGCCAGCTTTTATGAGCACTAATGAGTCTGTAAATACTGTGCTTGTGAAGCAGGCTCTCTGTGTTCTGGTTCCCAGTTTTTCTGAGTATAGTGAGACAGATCATCTCTCCACACACGAGTTAGATGAAGTGCACCTGTTATTATAGATCGGCGGCAAGGGACAACAGAAGTCCAGGATTCATTGCCAGCTGATCCCCCAAGGCTCAGGGACTTCCCCAGGGTGGACAGCATCTCATCTGCCTGTGCCCCACTTGCACCACAGCTGAGGCACACAGGGAAGCAGCCCCCCCTGGTTTTATACCTCAGGGACAGCATGACATACTGGGCTACAGTGCGGAAAGACCTCCTGTTTTGGGGGGACTGGAACAGAGCCCTGTCTGTTTCAGCCAGACCCTCCCTATATCCAGATGTAGCTGATCCAGCACATTCTGCATTATTCTTGTGACCTGCAAACCGTAGCTACAATACTTTTCACCATGCCCGAGGGGACTATACCACAAGGAGGATGAGCAGGCCTGCATGGGCAGTAACCTAGCCTGGGATCCTGGCATCGAGGTTAGAAGTTGCTAAAGGGCTCAGAGAAGATTCTTTCAGTGGCCCCACTGTCTGCAATCAGATCTTCTCTATCTGCGTTTCAGCAGTACCTGAGTTGTTTATCCAGGTATAGCAGGAGTTATTGGCAGTTGCATACACTCTTCCCAGTTGGGCTAAAAGGTGGTCTAGAGCGATTCTGTTGTCTAAAATAATCTTCCCAAGAGAGTTGAAGGATGTCTGCTGGGCTACCAAAGCAGTGGCAGGAAAGGAAGCAACATCTGCCATGGTCAGGGACAGGTTTATGATCATTTATTTAGGAGTGCTGACTCCTATGCATGCTATTATAGATCTCATAATGTAAACCCAGAGTCACTTATACCTTCTGATATACCTCTAGTTGGCCAGGTGTACAGCTTTAGTCTGCTGGCCCAGTGATGAATCTCATTCCCAGGAGTTGTATATAGGGGCACCCCCAGCATGCAGGACCCTACCATCCACTAGATTTCCAGGCACAGACATTGCTCATCCCATTCTTGGGTCACCTTCAGACTGCCCATAAAGAAATATGTAGCTCTCAGGTGTACATAGCACCCTTTATCCCGTTTTATTGTTCAGTGGCCTACTCATGGGTATGGAGGCACAGCCATTTGCAGCTAAGTCATAGTTGCATGAGCTCAGTTTCACCCCTACACTATTGTTTATAAGGTCCCTTCAGAAAGGGCTAGCATTATTGCAGTCCTTGTTTTCATCATTGCCACTGGGACACTTATCTTTTGTGTAATCAAATAAAAGTAGTGTGTCAGACCGGGCACAGTGGCTCATGCCTGTAATCTCAGCGCTTTGGGAGGCTGAGGTGTGTGGATCACCAGAGGGCAGGAGTTCAAAACCAGCCTGGCCAACATGGCGAAACCCTATCTCTACTAAAAATACAGGTGGGCGCCTGTAATCCCAGCTACTTGGGAGGCTTATGCAGGAGAATCGCCTGAACCCAGGAGGCAGAGGTTGCAGTGAGTTGAGATCATGCCACTGCACTCTAGCCTGGGTGCAGTGGCATGATTTTAGACTCTGTCTAAAAAAAGAAAAAAGAAAAAGAAAAAAAGAAAGTAGTGTGTTAAATTGTTAGCCCACCAAGGTTTTACTAATTGTGGTCATGACATTTTGCCACCTTAGGTCAATTAAGCTGAAACAGGGCACCTCTGGTTCCTTTTCATGGCAGGATGAGAGGGCCACTGTGGTCTGCAACAGAATAAGGTACAGGGTGGCTGATCCAACAGTTCATCAGTTGACCCATTGTATTAGGCCATTCCTGCATCACTATGAAGGAATACCTGAGACTGGGTAACTTACAAGAAAAAAATGTAATTGGCTTATGATTCTGCAGGTTTCACAGGAAACATGGCATCAACATCTGCTTCTGGGGAGGCCTCAGGAAATTTTCACTCAGGGCAGAAGTTGAAGCGGGAGCAGACACTTCACATGGCAAAAGCAGGAGTGAGAGGGTGGAGGGAGGTGCCACACTTGACAACAACCAGATCTTGTGAGAACTCACTAACTATCGTGAGGCCAGCACCAAGCCTTGAGGGATCTTCCCCCAACACCCAAACACTTCCCACTGGGTGGCACCTCCAACACTGGGGATTGCATTTCAACATAAGATTTGGTGGGGACACAGATCCAACCCATATCACCCATGGTGACCACAGCTTGGGAGGACCTAAAGAAGGCATTGTGCTTCCAGGCCTCTGCTGCCATGTCCTTGTGGAGAAAATAGAATGACAGGTTGGTGCCCCACCTCCACCCCTTCTGGAGTATCTCGTGTTCCCTACCTATTGGATAGGAGCTGGTCTCAGTTGGTGCAGCACCCAGTCCAGAGGCTACTATCTCTTTGGCACCCACTGCCCTTGTTGCTTAACCCAGACCTGTCAGCCTCTGTTTTCCAGTCCAGAAAGGGAGGAAACACGCTGTAAAAACTTGACATGTCTGAAAACACCACTCACCTGACTGGAAAGATCAGATGTCCCTGGAGCCAATAGAGGGACCTGTGCACGGTAGTATTCCTTGGTCCTATCCATTACTCTATGAGACTCCATATAGGGGAGTTAACAGCGGAAGCATTAGCTCCAGGTTAGATTTCGTAAGCCCTGTCTGGGGTACTATGGAGGCCCAAACCACAATCCACCCCTGGGAGGTGCATTCTAAAGGGAGAAAGGAAAAAGAATGGTTGAGAATATTGTGACTGGGATTTCACAGGTGCAGCCTAATCAAGCAGCTGCCTGATCCACCTCTACCCTCACCAAGCCCAGTGTCTCCCGACACGCACTCAGGTCTGTGCTTCCCTGGCCCTGGAGAGCAGTGTTTGGTGTCCTTACTGCCCTACTCGGATACGGGTGCTATCCCACTATCAGACTGTTCCTTGGTCAGAGTGAAGTCCTGCAGTATATCCAAAAAGATGATATAAATTCTTTTCATGGGTGGCCATGGTAGTCCCAGCATCCACACAAGTGACAGATATTTCTCCCTTTTAGGCAGCAAGCTGGTTGTACTCTTTGTTCCCACGCAGAGGTTCTTTAATAGTTCAGTCACTCGGTTGCCATTTTCCTGACCTGATAGTGAACAGCCCGTCGGTCAAAAAGTATGTATTAAGATATGGTAGCAGGGGTGACTGGCATGGCCATCACCATTGTGTGAGGTTGGCCTGGGCAGAACATCTATGTCCTATATAAGTCAAGACATGGCCATTCACTGGCTAGCCATCTGTAAATTACATCTGGGAAACCACAAGAGACCCCGTCTGCTTGTAGTTTTCCAGAGCCATCTGTAAACCAAGAAATGCCAAGTGGCCTTGGCATTCAGCCTGCACCAGTCCACTGTTAGTCTTCATGCCCTGAGGCCTTTTTGACCAGTCAAATTGG